ACAAGGACAAAGCCTGAGAGAGAGGTAAAGCTGCCCCAAATTGTCTCACATCTACTACTGGGGAAGAGCAGCACAGGGGCTGTTATGCCAGAGCAGCTAATGAACTTGTACCTGTTGCCTGTGTGTACTCCTTCACCTCACTGGAAATATAAGGTGGTTTATTCCTGAAAGGTGAATTTAAGACAACCCTTGTTTCCAAAATTCCTGAAGGACAGAGGAAAGACCATCTTTGATTTAAACAGAGATGATCCTTACTGTACCAAAGGGAGCCTGCAGTAGCAACACAGACTTGTGTATCACCATTATGAACTGTCAGTAAGTTAAAAACAAGCATAATTTCATCCAAACCACAGCTCACTGCTTCCTAAAGCACATCTAACAAAAAAAAATAAAAATCATCTAAGCTGGTGCAATGAAGCACATGCAATATTTGTCCTCCAAGTTAGGAGATACAACAAGCTAATAAAGGTAAGGGAAACATCTGTTCCAATACTGCACCAGTATCATTTGGAGAAAACGACTGCATCACTTACGGCCGTTTGGTATCCAGAAATACTACCAGAGTAATAGGATGTTGTCACCTCAGGCTCTACTGAAATCTACAGGAATTTTACTTGTTTAAGAATTATAGGATTAGGCACATGATCAGTGTTTCTTCCCTTTGAAAATAAACATTTCCACTTACAATTTCTATAGCGGTGTGAGATCATTATCTTGTGACAGTATTTGGTTCCACTGACATTATCTCCTAATTAGCTATTTTAAAATATATGTAAGAGGGTGGAGGTGGTGAGTGGACTTGTAAACCCAACAGGTCTGATATGTTCTTACAAACTCTGCTAATCCCAACCATTGAAAATACATTAGTAAGGCCAAACTAGCACTTTAAAGAACAACACAGCAAAATCCTCATGTCTTGAACTCCCTGGAGTTCAGCATGCAGCAGAAGGGCTCTCGAACCCAGAGAGTGGGAAAACCAGCCAAATGGGAAACCAGCCCTGGGAACAGGGCACATTGAGAGGCTGGCAACCTCTACAGCTTGGTAGGGGTGGTCAGCCCTACATTACAGTAGTATCATCACCTAAGGTGTTTGGCATAGAGCATCACAGGAGTTCTGAAAAGCCAAGCACAGAGAAGTTTACCAGGGATGAGAAGATGCAAGTAATACAAAGGGAAAAGATCAAACAGGCTGTGTTTGATATCCTCTGCACTGTCTCTATATCCTGAGAGATTATTGTGTTTATAGGTACAAAATCATAAAAGCTTTCTCCAAGATACTTCCTAATATATGAGCAGAAGTGGGATTTCAGTCTGTGGCATGGTAAGAATTGGGAAGATGGGTATTCTGGTATGCTGGACTAATTTTTTTTCTCCCAAGAGGTAGGTTTAATTCCTAACAAAGTCCCTTTGTAAAAAAGAAACTAGGACACATGTATACATGACAGATCATTTTGGAGGTACTCACATGCACGCAGGAAGCACCCCCTTGGCAACAGTATTCTTCTAGCCTTCAGCAGAGCTAAGAACTGTGATTTGTTTCTGTTTCTGAGTTGCTTTTAAACCTCAATTCAGTAAGTGTGTTGGTGATTTTCAGGGTGATCTGAACAGTGGAAGGCAGCAAAGTAAATGTCTGAAGAATACTGATAGTACGAGACAGGCACTAAACTGCCATTTACTCCAATATCTGTGGTTTGATTCAATACACAGTATGCAATATGATTTTTATTCTGATCAGATGGAATTTCTAGGCCTCAATCTGCTTGCAATAACCATGGCCCACCAGTAACTTCACAGCAAACAGGGAGGTGTACAGGAAAAAACCCATGTAAGCAGGAAGGGAATGAGTCTACATTAATGTCCTCTATAGATTTTTGTTTTCCATTGAAAGCTCTCTCTTGCCTAAAGTCACTTCTGTCCTTTTTTCACACCTCTTCAAGTCCACTCGGTGAATAAATTAAATGAAATTCCTCACTTGCTCTTAATACTTTTTAAATGCAAGCCAAGCCTCTTGGCTTTTCATACCTGGACATCTACTTTTTAAAAAATGCTATTGGATAATTTCTCTCTCTTTCATAGGCCGGTGCTTTGGCCCGTATGCACCCTGTGTGCTCCCTAAGGCTCATGCATAACTGTAATGGACGATTAGTCCAATTAAGTCTCCAGCAATTTCAATGGCTTATGCAAGAGTAGATGGGGCACAATATGTAATTTCAGCTTTTTTTTGTGAGGGTTTTCAATCCTTCCATGAACTAAATCATTTTATCAGTTTCTCTCTCTTTCTTTCTTTCTTTTTTTTAAAAAAAAATTGTCCCATTAAACTACAGAACTGGAACATATTCATGAATAGTTTCTTTCTGCTTTAACTCAAGGAGTTCCTGACATAACAAAAACTGGTAATTAACTGGCTCGAAGACTTTTACAATAGCCTCTTTAAATAAGTCCTAGTATGCGGCACTTGCAGCACTGACTCCACATTGCTGATACCACCGCAATGCACCCTCTGTTAAGCAAGGTTTGCTACTCTACCTCTGCATCAATTCTTGTCTGCTTTCTCACTGCTCTCTGACTTGGGAACACCAAAGTCCTCTCACATTTCTTTGTGGGCAAAGGGTAACCAGCTCCTCCATGATGGATCCCTGCTCTCAATCCGCTTGGATTTGTGCTGCTTCCTTAAACTATTTGGTGTCAGGGGGCCACTTGCCACCAGCATAAGGACCGAGTGGCAGGTCTGCAGCGTCTGGGCATGGCTCAGCGTCTCCTCCTGGCTAGTGTCACGGGCTGCTCAGTGCTTTCAGCACAGAAGCATTTTGGCACACTTTGGCAGTCCACACTACCTGCCCCCTGCTCCACACCTACTCAGAGCAGGGAGGGGCTCTTCCTGGTGGCAGAACCAGGCTTCGCTTTTTCAGATTTCACTCAGCAATGTGCGATCTGTAGCTGCTGTTGCATGTTGGCTCTAAGCATAGTCAGTCTTGCCTACTCATGCTTATCTCCCCTGGTTACAATACATTCTGTTTCTGATGAAAATATTACTCTGATGAGTGTTTCTCTGGCTCCACCATACTTTTATGCTTCCTGCTAACTAGCACAAGCCTTATTGTTGCAGTTCCGAATATTTTGCATCATTTGTAGATCCAGCAATTTAGTTTGTAAATAGCACAAAAAAAAAAAAAAAAAAAAAAAAAAAAAAAAAAAAAAAAAAAAAAAAAAAGTATTAATGTGTATCTTCCCCCAGTGCTCCAGACAGATTGGTTCACTGTGGAACAATTACATACATATGGGCCAGCCTATACTTCTTGTAAAATCAAATCATGCGAGGATGCCTCAGCCAGAACAAGCCATAAAGCTAGACAAGGCATGGAAAAAAACATCCCCAAATATGTACTGCTTAAGTTACAAAACTATAAAAAAATAACGCAAAATTGAAAAGGGCAAAGGAGACAAAATGTAAACACAAGCTTTTATACGCTCTGTGTAATATAGAGTGAATGTCATTTTGACATGCTGGTATCATGAGCTGCCAATGTAGTTCAGAAAAGAAAGGGATATCTCCAGAATTATGGCAATGTTGCTTTCTCACATCAAAGCCAGTTATAAGATCCGTGTCTGTGGTTGCCCGGTCTAACTGCCTACTTGGAAACTAAACCAGGAGAAATAATTTCCTAAGTAATCGTATTTAAAGTGTCCAGAAAGGTCATGAATCTTCAGAACCCCCTTTGGAAACCCAGCTCTTTTAGTGGGGGCTCACCCCTCACCCTCCTTAGCACAATGAAACCTCACTGCAGCTGAAAGCCCCCCAAAACCTGCTGCACTCAGGCCTTCTGTAGGACGTCAATGAGGCAATTGTAACACACCGCTAAGTTGATTTTGTGCCTTTGAAAAATCTCCTCCTTAACACAAATACTCCATCACTGTCAGCTGAACACGTTTAACTTTTGAATTAATGTTATTTTCAAGAGGTCAGACATGTGACAGTAACAACAGTCTTTTGCCAAGCTGTGTATTTCAGGTCTACATCTGAATTTCCCCAGAGCTCGGTATTGTTTAAATACAAGTAACTGACTCTGGCTCATCGCTAATGCAAAACTTCTGTTCTCCAGACTCCTTCAGGGCTCTGCTCCTGGCTTCCTTCCCCACGCAGGCAAGGGGAGGCAGATCCACTCAGTACCCCCTCCCACAGTACACACTGCTCAGCAGGTCAGAGGGACCCAACAGCAGGCCACTAAGAATAATGGCAGTCTTTTTCTCTCTCATTTTGTCCCCGTCCCAGAGGCTGCCAGGTGTGTCAGCGGAGCTTTAGGTGATAGTCACATGGTTTGTGAAAACTGGCCTCCACCTAGGGCCACCCCTGCCAGGCTGCCCCAGCGGCTGGGATGGGGGTACCTCCAGCATGGCTGCTGGGCTGCTGGGTGCTCACGGGGTGGTGGGGAGGAGTGAAAGCTGCTGGGTGGAGGGACAGCAGCTGCCTACATGCGTGGCTGGGCTCTCACGGAGGAAGAGGAAGCCGGTCACCACTCTGAGGATGGTCTATTTTGTATTACATTGCCGTTGTACGAAATGTACCGAATCAGTGCTCTGTACAGTGTCTTTGGGTGTCTATGCAGATCTAGGACGTTCAGAAGTATTTCAGAAGGTGCTATTTGGGGAGGCACATGCAGCTGGAAGGTGCCTGGGCTCTGGTGGAAACAAGTAGTATGTCTGTCCCACCGCACCAACCCCTGTGATTCCAGCAGCTGTCAGTTAGTTGCAGTGGGTTTGGGGACAGGTCTGGTGTGTGCATGGTGCCACAGCCCAGTCCTCATGATAAGCGAAGTCACAGATTTCTGCAGTACAGTTTTACAGTGAGCCTGCTCTCACCAAATTAACTATTACCAATATCAAGCAACATTGCATAAACAGTGACATTAGTTTTCCCCATGCAGTAACGCTATAAATCCCACTCTACTGCTGTGAGCTGCTGGGTGGATTTGAGGGGGCACAGCCCCCTTCTCCAGACCTACCTCCAAAGGAGCTGTACATGACCAGTTCTTAGGACTCCTTTTCTCTCTGTCTCTCAGCACAGGTGAGGTCCAGATCTTCTGTCAGTTAAATTTTATTTTCCAGCCTGCTTTGTAATTCAGATAGTGTTTTAGTTCACTTGGCTGGCACCTAGTATTTTCACCACACCCTTGTCTCTTCAGACAAACAACCTCTTTTCTAACCTCTGGCAGAGCTAAACCTAGTGAGTAAGAAGAAACAGTAGTTAAGGCATAATAAATAAAGCCACCCTGAAGAAATACCTACACAACACAAGATGAATGGGCATCATCTACCTGGACAGTGTTGCTGCTAAACATGGGAGGAATAAATCAGACATGTCAGGTGCACTAGGACACCTGACAAAAAGGGAATGACATTTCTTGAAACCATAGTTTTATCTCTGCTCGTTTGGATCAAACACTTGTAATAGTTGTGGATTAATTTCCTTCCCATAGTCAAAACAATAAAAGCCAGGCACCATTTTATTAATTTCCAAACCAGTGTCAGATAAGCAGAATTGCATTTAAAAAAGTAAACACCCTGCCATGGAATTGGAGGATATGTAAGCGTTTGGGGCTTTTTTTTCCTGTGTCTGCAAAAGGGGGAGGTTTTTAGTATTATGAATAGATTTCATTTTGTAAGTTGTGCTACAAAGCACTGATAAGGCAACGGGAAAGCAGCAGAGATTGAGGCAGAGCAGGAAGAAATACCACCCATATTAGGAGACAGCCACTTACTTAGTTGCTCCTATTTGAATAAAGATGCCATTGTTCAGCCAGAAGAATGCACATATTCACAGGCTGGGCACAAAATAGCTCAGTGTATCTAGAACTCCAGAAGTGTCCAAATTACAGCCCCAGGGCCAAAACTGCCCTTGAGTCTTTCTGAAGAATGACCCTCTGCTTAATTAATCAGTGCTTTAACTGTGAGTGATCCCAGGACACACTTTTCTCAGGCCTTTTTCTTAGATCTGCTTGTTCAGAACAAACCTTTAAATGTTCTCTGACTGATTTTTGACCATTTTTTTCCCCTTTCAAGATTATTATTTCCTGTTTTACTGTGAAAGCTCATTAGAAATGAAGACCAGCATCTAGATGATCTCAGTTTAGTTTACTTGGATAGCAAATGATTGACTCAGGATGGAGAGACATTGGCTCCCTTTTAAGGCCTACCAAAAAAGATTAAGTTTACAGGCTCCCAGAACATTGCTACTGCAATTTTCTTTCCATATACTAAGGAAAAATTGTGGCAGACCTGATGAGTTTGTACATGTCATTCTGTTAGTCACATTTGATCCCATCACCATAACTCCAGCTGTTGTGCATGGGATCCTTACCAAGATCTCTTTCCCATTTACTGTGCACAAGACAAGTTTGAATTTACAGCACCGAGAACTCCTTCTTGCTGCCACTGTCCAGGTTGTCTGGATTCTCATAAAACCTTTTTTTCTGTCTGGAACAGAACTGAGATTCAATGGCAACTAGAAATCCATGAAGACAATGAAAAACATTGCAAAATTTTTCTCCAAGTTGGACTCCACCTTGTCTACCTAGCTTTGATGATAAAATTCATCCTATTCTAATTGAAGTTAAACAGGGAAAGTCAAAGTTTTTCCTTAAAATGAAAACAGCAAGAGTTGTTTTTGTGGGTGGTTTGTTTTTGGTTTGTTTTTATTTTTTTTAAACAGGGATATTTACAGTGAAAACCCAATGAATTCTGAGCATCTTTACAAACTTGTAACACCATATACAAACTAAAAAATGTCAAGGTTTTAAAAAAGTCAGCATGAATGTTTTGAAAAGCTATAATGATAATATAATATGCAGCTAGGGAAGCTGGAGCCATACTGTTTGATAGGCCCTATCTTATGATATCCAATATTAAGCTAAGTAAAATGATATGACCGGATGGCCTAACTAAATTTAGTAGTCTGGTGAATTGCCACTCTACTAAATTTAGTCAGCCCATAATGGGCATTAGATATCTACAGTCCAAATGATAAAATCTGTCTTGCTTTTTTAGGCTCCCAGTGAACACACAATATACTACATTGCACTATTAAGAAATAAGCAAATCTGGAAGGGAAACCAGGGGAAGGGGGAACCAGGACCTTAAGGAACACAGAAGGAATTGGGATGTGCAAAACCACAACCTCATGCTCAACGCTAGCCTGGCAGCAGGCGAAGGTGCATGGATGCTCCCCAGATATGTGACCCAAAGGGAGGAGAGGATGAGGAGGGCTCTGTGGGTGCACTAATCCTCCCCACTGCAAAGCTGCCACTCCAAACATAACTGTGCTGGAGCCATTGGAAGAGGAGTGGTTACAGGTGGGAGCTGGGCTCTCTGAGCCTTGCTGCTCTTATAAAACATATGCTGCCTGCATTTTCATATCACTCCTTCTACATTTTCCATTCTGGGCTTTGTAATCCTGGTGGTAAACAGGGCAGTATATTTCTACATAGATTTCCATGCATCTGTGAGCCAGTTTTACAGCTATGAAAACTGCTAAGTCACTTTTCTCAAAACCATATTCAAGGTGTTACTTACACAGTTCCTGCTGTTTAAGGGGATTTCTGCTTCTCAGTCCATGTGTGCTGTGACCTCTCCACTGGTGTGAAACCATGTAGGACACATTTTTTTAAATGTGAAATCTAATAGGATTAGAAGCTTTTAAAAATTCTGGCATTAATGAGTAGAGAAGAACAGTAATTGGACACGAAAAGGGAGCACCATAACATTATTCCCATGTCCTTAGAAAGAATTGCGTCCCTCTGTCCTCATATAAGAAGCTACTGGATGCCCCATGTAACTCAGTGATACTTCTTGATTACAGACAAGAAATAGTGCCCTTGTCCTCACTTTTCAGTACCCAGTACAACAATGGAGACATAGCCCTAATACTCAGCAGGTTCTACAGATCTAGCTTTATACTGAAGGTTGAATAACATAAACTGTAAGTTATCTTTGATCCCCTCCCTGCTTTAGGCAAATTTAACCTGCCTGAAGTTCTGTATGCACCATTCTCTGCAAGAAACAATTCTATTGATCATAGCTGGGTGTACATGTTCGACAGTCTGAGACTCAGAACAGTGGTTTTGAAAAATAATATATCTCAAAATAATCAGTATAGAAAGTCCCCATTTCCTTAATTGTTTACACTAAAAGGAAACAAATAGCTCTTGGAAAAATATCCTTTTGGCAGGGGGCGGGGGAAGCTTCTAAAATAGTAGCTAAGAAGTAGGTATGAAAATAAGATCATTACAGCTATTATCTGTATGCAGTCCATCTGTTTAGACACAGCGTTTTAGAAACAAGAGAGAGGGACAGAGTCTCAAAATTCAGAGCATTTTATTCATTTGTGACATTCCAGTTTTCACTCAGAATTTACCCTTTGCAAGATTTTTAAATCTGACTTCCCAATAAATGGATGTGGGAACTGTGATCACCCTTTCCAAGTCCTGTCCTCCTCATAACTTTTGGAGAGGTTGGCCATTTTGACCTCAGTTGCATTTGGAGGTCGTGTGGGTCTCGGACACACAGGGCTATCACAGGTATCACAAAGTGCTTCCCTACCAATGCCCCATCAAGGTGCCAGCCCACCCCCCCTCAGAGGAGCTGCCACAGAGGAAACCTATTAGACACCAGAGAATCCCCAACCGCAGAATCTAAACACACCAGGAACCAGGGTGCCCTAGTTCTGCTGCTCACACAGTAACTTGTTTTTCTTTTTATAATTATGTCTTAAGCATTCTTTATGCTGAAATAATCATAACATATTTACAACCAGACTCTATTTTAATTTTTGTCTTCAGATCACTTTCTGTGTGGCCTCATACTGCCATTTCCAGCCCAAATGACACCCTTCCTATCAAAGGCAATTTGGATTTCTTTTCTCAGACACAAGTTTGCAAGGTATTTTTGTCAAATGATTTACTCAAGTTCTGATGTTACAAATAGACCTGCTGGTGTAAGGAGGCAGAGCAGCAACTCTGGATCTGACCCAACATGTATTGGCTTTCTCGTTGCTGTATTTTGTAATTCTATAACAAAACCTCATTTGTGTAGCATGGCTTCATAACCCAACAGATGTGATGCTTGCCTGCTCACTCCAGTTGTGTTTCTCACTTTTAGTACAGATGATTACTGGCCAGTAACCACTAGCATTGTTTAATAACATTAGCTTTTTGTGGCTGTTGTTGCTTTTTCTTTTCTGATACGACTTTTCCCCATATGCCATGTTTTTTCCAGAGTACTTGTAAATATTTGGAAAAATGCATTAGTTTCACATTGCTCTGAAGACGAGTTTCATCTACACTTGCTCATTTACATATATTCATGTTTTACAAGTTTTCTCCCCCTCACTTTTTAATCAAACACCTGTTTTCACAGGGCTTTTGCTTCTTCCTAATTGTCAGTCCGTATTATTTTTGTTAAAGACTGATTTTTTTTCTTTAAAAAAAAGCAGTTCTATTGCTCATCCATTTGAAAATCATAATTAACTTCATCTCCTTCCTCATTTGCTAATGGGTCTATTTTCTCTCTAGTATTTCCTTTTCCCCTGATACACTCATAAAGTCTCTCTTGTTTCTCTTATCCCCTTTGGCTAACTTTAACTTATTCTGCCTTAAGCTGGGGAAAGGGAGACCTTCACAACACAGTGCTTAGAACTTCCACACCATTTTATACTTTCAAAGTCTTTTGCAGACATCAATTAATTAATTAACTTTCATAATGTGCCAGTGAGGTAGAGAAGTATTATTCACAGCTTTATTTTGATGAGGAAAGTAAAGAGGAGGTCCTGAATAATCAATGCTGACTGCAGAGGGGCTGCTTCAAGGGCCAAAAACTTTGTGTGCTCAGGCAAGTAGACAACTAAGCCTGCTTGTGGGCATAACATCATCATTAGTAAAGATGGGAAGCTGAGCTCAGGTAAGAGAATGCAAAATCTCTCTTTCAGCTGCCCTTATTTCTGTTCATTTTTTAGTGAAGACTCCACAGAGGTTGCCCACCTACGTTTCTGCTGGTCAGATGTTCCTACACAATATTAATATATCTGGTTAAAAACGCTGTTGGAGAAAGCAGTGCCATTGTTAGCCTAGAGGATATTTAAAAAACCTGTTGTCGCTTTATACAAGTGCCTGACAAACATATTTACTCTTTGCTAGCCATTACACTTAGAAAAACGATTTCAAAACCATA